AAAAAAAAAAAAAAAAAAAATTAGGCAAGCATAGTGGCACACACCTGTACTCCCGGCTACCCAGGAGGTTGAGGCCCGACTAGGAGGATTGCTTGAGCCCAGGAGTTTGTGGCTGCTGTGAGCCATGATCACGCTACTGCACTACAGCCTGGGTGGGCCACAGAGCCAGAGCCAAACCCTGTTACTTATTAAATAGATAAATTACCTCCCGTAACTGACTGCAACTCCTAAAGAAACAATTTAGGGAAGAAAAAAAAAGGCAGGGGAAATTGTGCCATTGTGCTCTTGAGAGATGCATTTGGGATTTGTCCAAGGTCTATCCTGGAACCCAAGGTCCCTGAGTCAGAGAGCAGAAGTCATGATTAAGGATGCAATTGGAATCTCCCCTGGTGTTAAGCCCCATAAACAGTTGCCTATGCAAAGGCAAAGTCCACAGGCCTTAAAACGGGGTACAAGTTTTTCCTAAAACATATTAGGGAGAGGCGCTTTCAACAGGACCTCGTTGCAAGATCTCCAAAAAAACTTCAAACAAGAATATTTACATGTTGTCCAACCTTATTATATATTATTTCAGTGCAAATCTACAAATATTTTACTTTAAAAAGAGCGACATCTGCAACACCTTGCTTAAGAACAATGATTATAAATGTATCACCATTCTCTACGCTTTTTTTTTTTTCTTTTTTTGAGTCAAAGTCTCTGTCGCCCAGGCAGGAGTGGAGTGGCGCAATCACCGCCATGGCAGCCTCGACCCGCTGGGCTCCGGCGATCCTTCCGCCTCAGCCTTCCAGGTAGCTGGAACCACAGGCGCGCGCCACCACGCCTGCCTAATCTCCTGATTTATTGCAGAGACAAGGTCTCGCCAAGTTGCCGGGCGAGTCTCGAACCCGCGGGCTCAGGGAATCCTCTCGCCTCCGCCTCCCAAAGTGCTGGGATGACAGGCGTGAGCCGCCGAGCCGGCTTCTCCACGCTTTCGAGGGACAAGGGGTGAAGGACGAGATCCTCGCCGGCGGCTGGAAAGGAGGCGGTGGCTATGAGCGGAGGCCTGTGGCGGGAGGCGGGGGCTGTGCCAAGGAGGACCGGGCCCGCCAGGAGAAGCGCGCGCGCGAAGCGCTTTCACGAAGCCTGGCGCCCCCAGGCGTCAGGGGAGCCGACGCTCTACGCGGCGGACGGACGCACACCGAAGGCAGGAGCGGGCCCCCTCGCACGGCTGC